ATCCACGACCATCACCTCATGTTGCAGCATGATAATGCATGGCCCCATGTTGCAAGGATCTATACACAATTCCTGGAAGCTGAAAACATCCCAGTTCTTGCATGGCCAGCATACTCACCGGACATGTCACCCATTGAGCATGTTTGGGATGCTCTGGATCGGCATATACGACAGCATGTTCCAGTTCCTGCCAATATCCAGCAACTTCACATAGCCATTGAAGAGGAGTGGACCAACATTCCACAGGCCACAATCAACAACCTGATCAACTCTATGCGAAGGAGATGTGTTGCACTGCGTGAGGCAAATGGTGGTCACACCAGATACTGACTGGTTTTCTAAACCCCCCAGACCCCCCCAATAAAGCAAAACTGCACATTTCAGAGTGGCCTTTTATTGTGGCCAGCCTAAGGCACACCTGTGCAATATTCATGCTGTCTAATCAGCATCTTGATATGCCACACCTGTGAGGTGGGATGGATTATCTCGGCAAAGGAGAAGTGCTCACTAACGCAGATTTAGACAGATTTGTTAACAATATTTGAGGGAAATGGTCTTTTGTGTGTATAGAAAATGTTTTAGATCTTTGAGTTCAGCTCATGAAAAATGGGAGCAAAAACAAAAGTGTTGCGTTTATATTTTTGTTCAGTATATATAAATCCCTCCCCACTGCTTAAAAAATTATTTGACATGCCTCCCACTTTTTGCACCACCCCCCTCACCTCTCATAAGCCAGCATATTCATGACATTTTTATGTAGCCTACTAGGATACTTTAAATCCAGCATTTAAAATGTTCTCAATGTCTCGCTTTTCCTGAACTGTGGATTTATGGCTGTTAAGCCAATATCCTCCACTGACAATGTTCATTACATAATCCATGGACAAACAATAATCACTGTCTCAGTGTGAATGGCTATAACATACATCTGATGAGCCACAAGTGGGTGCTGACGTGCCTTAGTTGTTATGGCTGGAGTACACATTTGCAATACAAAGCAAATGCAAAGTATGAGAGGATAAAGTGACAACCAGCCATCTTCTAGCTATAGTGGATAGTAATAATAATAATAATAACAATGACAAAAGTCTAATTCAAAAAAGAAAGATATCAGTTTCACACAGGGAAATTTGTATTTGATTACTCTATAAAGTTTGCCATGGCTCAAACATTTTGTAGCAGTGAGCACACTAGCCATGAATCAGTTGAAATGTGAGAACATTTTGCAAAGCCATTGGACTGTATACTAATTATAATTATATTACGGTAAATTGACTTGCAGTTTTCCACACTACTTGCCACATTTACCCATTCACACACACATTCATACACCGGTGTCTGAGGCAACCATACAAGGTTCCACCTACTCAGTTAAAAATTCATATAATATGCAGTTACACACAAATATTTAATAGGACAAAATAATGAAGTGATGACATTTTATATTCAAAGGGTCAAAGGTCAGCCTTACTGTGACATCATAAGGTTTTGCATAAAACACTTTCCTGCCATTATTCAGTGTCATATCTCAGGAATGGAAGGGGAAACATTTGATCAGATATTTAATTAGTGAAACTTATCTTTGGTGTTCACCTTGAAAGTGTGCTGATCGTATAGACATTCTGTGCTGCTGGGGGCACAATGGGTGTCAGACATTCATGTTTTCCCAGATGTGGATGTAAACTGTAAAAGAAACTTGACTGGTGCGACCATGGGGCGGTAATTCTAGTTTCCTTAAAAATGAACAGGTTAGTTACTGGTTAATGCTTATAACAAAAGACATACCAGAACCAGTACTTTTATTGATGTCCAGAAATTACTTTCAGATCTATGATTCTCCAGTCTAACTGCAAACCTTATGTTTGGAAAATTGGAGACAATGTGGGAAAACTGAGGCCAACATGAGGAAATTTCTGAATTTAGGTGTGCTATGAGATGCTATTACAAAATCAGATAATCATTCAGATAACAGAAACAAGTGGCATTAAAAAAAGCATGCCACTGCAGCCATTTGCGCGAACACTTCATAAATCAGCTCACCAATCAGTAACACTGCTGAGTCGAAGTCCTTCAGTTACTCTTTACACCCAGGATAAACTTTATAGAGGGTTAAAGGTCACATCTGGTCAACATGCACATTTAAAGCAAAGCAGCACCATTGACTCTACACAGCATGATGATGAAGCGAGTGCTGCTATTGTTTGGATTGGTGGCCCTAGCCACTTCATATACTGTAAGTATATTTATTGATTAATGATTAAGGTAAGCACAATGTGATATGGTTGCTAACTTGTGCTGACTTACACTGGTTTCCTTTTATTCAGATACCTGTTTCCTCTGAGATACATGGTAGGTCAAAACATAATCTTTACTTGAAGAAAAAAACAGATGTTGAATGGCTGTGAAAAGATTCTGAGACTGTTTGTGTTACAGAGGTGTATAAGAATGGTGAGGATGAGAACCCAATCCTAAACCTGGGTGAGCTACAACATTTTAATACTTAAATGTTCCTTTCTTTGCTGAGGTAATGAGTAAAATATTGAATCAAGCTGTGTGTTTTTTGCTGACTGAAATATAATTTGTTCCTGTGCTGCAGGATCAGATGCCAACTTGTTTGAAGGAGACATTTATGTTCCAGTAAGTTGTATTTTGATGAGAATATTTTCTTATTTTGGAGATAAATGCTTTTGCTTAATCATTGCAATCGTTCCTTGACTGTTTTTTATTGGCAATTGTGTGCAATCTAATATCTACCTGTTGGCACTGTTGGTTCTTTTGCTCTTGAGTAACCACTGTGTTATATCTATTTGATTTTATTGTATGTTTTTTTTTATTAGTCTTGATAAGGTTTATGGTCATAATTTGCTTATGTCCTTTCTCTCTTTTATGCAACAGCAAGGAAAGAATGCCATGATTGACAAAAGATACAGATGGAAATTTCCAATTCCTTACATTCTGGGTGATGATTTGGGTGAGTTTCTTTTTAATATTCAGCAGGCTTTGAACACTGTGTGGTCTGTAAATACTAGTGATGGCCTCACGAAGCCTCATGAAGCATTTTCCTTATTTTCTGAGCCCTCTAGATGGTGCTCTTGGTTTAAAACGAGAGGCTCAAATAATAGCAATCCAGTGTGCTTTCAACCTTTTATCAAAAAAAAAGTGCCATATAGTGGGCTCAGAAAATAAAGAAAATTCTTCATGAGGCTTCATGAGGCCATCACTAGAAAATACTAACGGTCATATGACTGGGAGTCCAGTCCAGTCCAGTCACAGAGAGTTTTTCTAAGTAATAAAATATCTGGCTATCTTTGAAAAACTCAAGCAGTTGTTTAGCTGGGGTCCGTTTCACAAAGCAGGTTCAACAAACTCTGAGTCTAATCCTGAACTCTGAGTTGATCTACTCTGAGATAGGAAACTCTGAGTTTCCGGTTCCAGAACAGCTGATTTGAATCAGTTTAATCAACTCAGAGTAGTTTCACCTGGAGTTAAGCGCGTGCACCACGACTATAAAAAGCCAGCATCAATGGAGCCCCGATTCGACGAGTCACCATGGCAACGGGGACGGGGAGGGCGTTTTTCACCCCACTAGAATTAGAAATCTTAATGCGCTCATACTGCGAGTTTGAACACGTTTTCAAAAAGAAGTGCAACACTGCTGCAGCTGCAAAAGAGAGGGAGACGGCGTGGGAGAACATTGCTGCTCGGGTCAATGCGTAAGTTTAAATGTAGTCCTTTGCAATCACAATAATATTACAGGGGAAAACTGCTTGAATGGTAGCCTATTAATTTATTTCATTTAGGTGCAATCCCGCAGGGGAGAAGTGCACTTGGCAGCAGTTTAGGATGAAATATAAAAACATTGTTCAAACAGGTAAGACCTCGGCATAATCTCATGGGGGTACCTCATTCTGATCATGTTTTACATTGTAAAGTAAATATTAAGTGGCTGTTTGACTGTGCAGTTGTTTTATCCCCAACATAATGCTGTTTTCACACACATAAATGTCTTCTCATCTATATCATGTTCTGTTAAATAATTAAGCCTATTTAAACTAACACAGACTTCTACTCAGCGAACAGAAAGAAGGCAGATGCCCGTAAAACGAGCACAGTTTTCTGACCGCCCTGCGTACAGTTGCCTTACTCAAGTGCTCAGCGTCTCCGACATTGTACAAAAACTTCCATTTGCAAAGAAACGCAGTGCAACACATAATATCTGCTGGGATGTGAGAGCATGACTACGATTGGTAATGTTGCAAATGTAAGGACGGATTAGGTTGTGTATGTAGATGATGGACTGTGACGTGAAACGGTACAGCTCAAAAAGATAATTGTGTGGAAATGCTAAAACATCTATGCGTGGTTTGATAACCATCTCCCGATGAATATTTAATTCTCTGCGCAGTAATGCTGCACCTTCATCCAAGGGATCGTTATCAAAAGGACATGCCATGTTAGTGAAAAAAGTCGCCACCTACTGTGCCTAATGGACTTCTAATATACTGACTCTGATTTTTTAAAATGACAGACAGCAGAACTAGGCTACGCCAAAACTCGCCTGCTGACTGAATGAATGAGGAAATCAAATGGAGTGTGTGGCTCTGAAAGAGGGCGGAGACAGAGAGAAACTCGAGGTTCATTGACAAAAACCTGGTCCCGACCAGGTTAGGTTCATAGAGTCTGTTACTACGGTAACTGACCGAGAGCTTAAGTTACCTCTCTCTCTGAAACAGGCTAGAGTTACTCCTTTCTCTGGTTTGAGTTACCTCCCTTTTTGAAACGGAAAACTCAGAGTTTCCCTCATTTCAGGGTTAACAGACTCTGAGTTTTCACTAAACCTGCTTTGTGAAACAGACCCCTGGGGTAGGCAGAAATCTGGGGAAAAAAACAACAAAAACAAAACAAAACAAAACAACAACCCCTCCTGCAGCTCTCCCCACTCTGTTCCTAAGCCCCTCCCACCAGATGATCATGGGCATGTGCATGCGCTTTATACAGGAACACAGTGTTTATTTCATCTTATTTCCAGCTTGCTCGCTCAGCTTCTTCTTGCTCTGCTCTCTTTCTGTTTATCAGACCACAAGTAAGACAAGAATTAGCTGCTAGCCATCCCACAGTCCCTCCTCCTCGATCCCTGCCACTGTGGACTGCTTTTTTGAGGAGGAGAATGGGCAGCAGTTTGGACATTCAATCAACTATCGCAACCTAAATTTGATGAGCGCAAACCCCCTAGCACTGGTTGTCACAGTGGCAGGTGGGCAGCAGCAGCATCTGGTCTAACCTGTGTAAAGGCAGCAACAGAACGTTTGTTGATCTGGTAGCTAGGTTCGGGCTACTGTGGCTGCTGACTGGGGGTCTGCCACTGGAGCTGCTGCCAGCTCTCCTCCTGGCGAGGTGGTCTATAGTGATGGGGAGTTAGGTGAAGGACATGTTAGCTTCAGAAAAATGAACTTGAAGCTGCAGCCGTGAGCCTTTAGCCCTGTTTAGCAGAAGGCTAAACTATTAGAAACATTTTCTCTCCATCTCTGAAATGCTTTGCCAATATTGATATGTTTTATTTTGTTTATTGTCATTCTCTCTTTTAGACTTAAGATTTAATACACTTCATTATGGGATTTTTGTCCAGTGACGCCAAAATTTAGTTGTCTTCCTCAGCTTGAAGGCTGTCTCAAACACTACTAACCATCTGCATGAAAAAAATATTCTGTTGTGACTGTTCCTTTCAATCCTTAGATTTGAATGCCAAGGGCTGCGTCCACCAGGCTTTTGAAATGTATCGGCTCAAGTCTTGTGTTGACTTCAAGCCTTATGAGGGAGAGAAGACATTCATCAAGTTTGAAAAGAGAGGAGGGTATGGCTGCATTTACAAAATCTTCTGCTAATAACTGCTAAACAGTAGATACCAGTTTATAGAGTAAAACATTAAAATTAACTAATGACTCTCTGAAAGCAGCTTTATTCATGGGTTCAAGTTTAAGCTAACGTTCCTTGACTGTCTGTACTTTCATAGATGTTTCTCCAGTGTTGGTGACCAGCAGATTGGCCAGATTCTGTCTTTGGGCACAGGCTGTGACCACAAGGCAGTGATTGAACATGAGCTACTCCACGCTCTGGGGTTTTATCATGAACAGTCCCGAACAGACAGGGATGACTATGTTGACATCTGGCTGGATCAGGTTATACCAGGTTAGTCTGAGAACTTCATGGTCCATCATTTCCTTTCTTTTGTCATTCATGTTCTGTAAAAACAATATTTTTATTAATAAGACCTTATTATGCTGTGAAATGTAATGTTGTCTAGTTAGATACTTTGAACCCAGACAGGATAGCATACAACACGTTCTGACTCCCAACGCATCAAATATCAGTGTTTGGTAAATGGACTTTCATGTCGACATAATGACAGGTAGGTATCCTGGTAGGTATCCTGGGTGAGTCTGTTGTTGACATTTTGGGACACCGTGTCAATTTACGCCTGTTAAATGCAAGCATGCAATGTATTTTTCAGAATAAACTTACAACCATGGTAAAACACCTTGAATTTACATTATTTCCTTGTGCAACAAAAGCGCATGGTTAGGTATAGTTAAAAACATCATGATTAAGCTCAACATTGATATGAGAAGCAAACACCGGGCTCCCGGGTGAAAGTATGGATTTTTTGGACCCCTCCACCTCCCCTCCCATCCACCCTGTATGGACTTTCCAGCTCCTCAAATTACGCTGTTATTGGTAATGTTTCAAACTGATGCTGTCTGGTGATGTTACGCACTGATGCTGCCCACTGCCGTATCGTACCATGTGAAAGGATGAGTTTTTCATCGGTGTGCGACACCAAAATCACTGACCAAGCGGCGGTATCTGATGACTTTGGAATGAGAATGGGTTGTAACATGCAGCATGTCTTTAACTCTGATGGCATTCCTTATGGTAAGAATGACTACATCAACATGAAATTTTCCTCAGGACTTGAACACAACTTCAACAAATACAACGATGACTACGTCACCGATCAAAACACGGCATACGACTACGAGTCTGTGATGCATTACAGGCCCTTCTCCTTCAATAAGAATGACTCCATCCCCACTATCACCACCAAGATTCCAGAGTTCTACAACATCATTGGTCAGTACCTCGACTTCAGCGAGATGGATACCCTAAGGCTGAACCGGATGTATAACTGCTGTACGTATATGTTGCATAATTACCTATGTTGCTCTGTATTTTCTTAAAAGCTGACAATTGACAGAATTAAATATTACTGGACAGAAGTGATGAGAGAGTAATGAGAGTCTTTAGGAAGTAAGATTCGGTGTGCACTAAATCTTGCTCAGCATAAAATGGATGAAAACTTTCAAATGACTCCAAACGGTCACCCCCATCCCTCCCCAGCTGGTCCTCTCACCCTGCTAGACCAGTGTGCCTTTGAGTATGCCAGCATCTGCGGGATGATCCAGGCCTCCACTGATGGTGCCGACTGGGTCCATACCAAGAGCAGTGTGGGTGCTGAGGATCACACACTTCTGGGAAAATGCAGAGGTCAGAGTTAGATAATTGTCTCCCAGTTAGATTATTTTCAGTTCAGACAGCATGACAGCAATGAGCAAAAATAAAGTTGTATGCTTATGTATGCTAAGGGCTTATCTTGGCTTTAATTTTTAGATGCTGGCTACTTCATGCACTTTAGCACCATGACTGGGAAGCCTCAGGAGTCTGCACTCCTGGAATCCCGAACCCTCTATCCCAAGAGGAAGCTTCAGTGTCTGCAGTTCTTCTACAAGATGACGGGAAGCTCCAAGGACAGGCTGGTGATCTGGGTTAAGATGGATGATGGCACAGGCACCATTCGTAGAATGAAGAAAATACACACCTTTTATGGTATTTATTTATGGTGGACACATTTCACAGCAGCTACTTGGAAATACACAGCTTTGCATCAAGGCAAATATTCATTTGCACATTGGTTTAGCTGCTCATCAGCTCTCAGCTGATATTCAAAATCAAGTTATTTCCAGACATCATAAAATATACAAGATAGACAGTTACTAACATCATTCATACACACACAGTCACTGGTGACAGGTTCAGAAAAGTGAACTAAAGTTTGCTTCTGTGTCATTAGTGGTGCATTAGTTGCCTCATCTTCAAGTCATTTGGTTTTTGAAGAGGTGCAGTTCCAGGAAATCGCTGGCCTAGAAAAGAAATTGTTCCAGATTAAACAAACAAAATACACTTTATCAGTGGACCTCCAGGTCTACATATAATGTTCTAGGTATCCTTCAGCATCTGCTGTTATCGTTTCCTGATGAGACACCAATAAAAGGACCTGGTTAGGTTTAGAAAAAAACTCTATGTCAATTCAATTTCAATTTATTTATAAAGCCCATATCACAAATAACAGCAAGTTACAGCATACGACATCTCTCTGTCCTTGGACCCTCACAGTGATTATGGAAAGATTCCCCCCCAAAAAAACTTAAATGGGGAAAAAAGCCATCATGGGTTGGCTCTACTTTCATACAGGAGGCGAACACCAGGCTCCCAGATGAAAGTATAGGGTTTGTTGGACCCATCCACCACCCCTCCCATCCTTCCTATAGGGACTTTCCAGCTCCTTACATTAAGTCGTTACTGGCTGCATTTCAACCTGACGTTGTCCAGTGGTGTATCATACTGCCATGACTGGTGCCATCCAGCCGACCGGCTGCATATCATAACACTGACTGACATATAACAAACAGCAGCTATAACAAACAGCAGCGAGGCCAAAATCACTGATAAAATGGCAGTATTTGACAACTTCAGGATGCTTTCAGTCTTTATGCTAAGATTAATCTAGATTCATACTTAATGGACAGACTTGAGAATGGTATGTATTATTTCGTCCAACTCTTGGCAAGAAAGTGATTGAGAGTACTTTCCAAAATGTCAAACCAGTCCTTTACAGTACATACTGTAACATGAGGACTAACAGCTAATGTCAAGCAAAACCACTTAATGTACAAACCATATTGCCACATATGGTAAGATTTGTCCTCTTGTCCTTTTCCTGTGACCCAGCTGATTCTGACCACACATGGAAGATCGCCCATGTCCCAATGGAAGTAGGAGTAAAATTCCGTTATGCTTTCCAAGCTGTGCCCGGTGATCCCTCTGCATCTGCTGGTGGCATCTTCATCGACGACATCAGCCTAACGGAGACACGCTGCCCCAACGGCGTGTGGAGGATCCAGAACTTCTCCACGATCATGGAAACGGCTGACCGTGACACATTCATTGACAGCCCTCGTTTCTACAGCCCTGAAGGCTACGGTTACGGTGTCCGTATCTGGCCACTGTCGACTTATGCTGATTACACTGGGAACTACACAGGGCTGTATTTCTTCCTGGCCAGCGGGGCAAATGATGTGGTGATGCAGTGGCCAGCAGTAAACAGACAGGCCACCTTGGTTGTGATGGACCAAGACCCAGACATTAAGCTGAGGATGTCCACCGCTCGCAGCCTCACAACTGATATGAGGAAGAGTAAGTGTTGCATATCCATTATCCCCAGACAGATTAAGACAAAAGCACTGCAGTGGCATCATGCACACAAATTCAACAGGCAGTACAATGAATCAAACATAGTACTGTGAAAGTTGCAAACATGTTCAATTGGACTCTGAAACACTAAGCAAACACATATGCCAGCTTCCAACAATACGAGGTCACAGGTTTTTGGATGACTACAGTATGATTGAAATAGTGGGATCACTACTCACATGACAGATTGTTTTTTTTGTGCCCTCTAGCCCCAGATGGAAAGTTCTTTTGGGACAATCCCGCCAAAGTGGGGACATATGACCCTTCCTGTGATTGCTACAAAAGTGAATCATGGGGCTGGCGGAATTTTGTCAAGCACTTTGACCTCAGGCGGCGCAATTATCTCAAGAACGATGACCTCATCATCTTCATCGACTTTGAGGGTTAGTGGTCTGTGGTCAGTATTGTTTGTGCTGCGTGCCAGGATGCATGCGTAACAAGTAATTATGTCTTTTCCCACAGATATAACATCACTAATCAACACAGAAGTGCCCATTAAACCAAAGGAGTGAGGTCACACAAGATTTTATATCATGATTAACAGCAGGTAAGACAACATACACTTTTGTTTCACAGATTATTGTATGTGCTCAGGATCATGTGAAGTTACTTTTTTTCATTCAAAATAATCAGATGCAACATACGCAGCTGAGATGAGAAGAACTACCACTGGAGATGAAGAAAGGATGCCATGACACATTATCAGAATCATTTAAAAAACATAAACTTTAAAAATTTAAAGATATCTAAATATAAAAAAGTTGAATACTGTATATGCATGCTTTTGGACAGTGTCATCATTTTTGAACAGCAACTTTCTTTCTCACTGAACCACTGTCTTAATAAAAGTTATTAAATTCTGCCATTAAAGAAGAAGTCTGTGGTATGTTTCTTTTGTCTTGTGATGTAAAAGTGGCTGCCATGTGAGGGACCATTAGAGATCATGGAATTAAAGGGTGTCGTGCTCTAAGCTGTAAATTAACAGACTAGTACTTCAATGTGGTTTTTATTCATTTAAAATGATGCAATATGTAAATATAACACAATAATAAGCAGCATGATTTCAGAGAGATCATTTATCATTAATTGATTATTACTATTAAAGGAGAAAACCGACCTTTTAATGCACTAACATCTGTTTATTTGTCACCCTGTCTGTAACAACAGTTGTGTAGTGACCTCTGAGGCTCTGGAGATGCTTTGTCAAGTCAGGGGATGTAATCCTGATAACTGTCAACCAAATATACACTATTGGTTGCATTGTGGGAAATGTAGGATCTAACTGATTTGGAGCTTGACCTTAGCCTGAATCCAGACCTGTGAATCATAGCCTCCATCTTTGACTTAGTCAGCTATTCAAATAGTTCTGGCATTGCGTCCATTAATGCCTGTGTCTGATGGTTAGAAAACAATTGAATTAGCAGACAGGATTACTGTAATATACAATAATAATACAAGAAGTGGGACATCATCTTAGTACATGAGTTCTTACCTTGATGTAAAATAGTAAAAAAAAAAAAAGGCAAGAAGTGTTGTGATGAGATCAATGCACTTTACAATTTGTAGTGAGGCTACATGTAAAGAAAAACAGCTCTTAAAATTTTAAACTTAAGACCAGTGGTCTTAAGTGGTCATTGTTTTTCAGGCCAAGGACCCCTTGGCTGAAAGAGAAACGGAGCAGGAACCCCCAACTCAGTTGCATATTCAATTGGGCCAACATAACATGTAGGACAGCCTATGTACCATGTATAAACATATCCTTTTATGGTGCATACAATACTAAGCTTTCTTTGCTGATGGTGGGTTTGTAAATCTAATCTGACACTCTACACTAATTGGGAGAGCTTTGTTTGAACAAGCAGAGTGTTCTTTTTCCATGTGAATTTACAAAGTTAATCACACATCCACTCCGCTTGCATCAGAACAGTCTTGCTAGGAGTGTCTGTGAAGCGGGTGTCTTTATAGTGACAGGCGGCAATGATCCACAGGTGAGAGGCATTAGCCTGATAAGGTGAACATGGCGGGCCGGCAGGAGCGGGAAATGAGTGGACAGGTGATAGGCTGGCAGGTAGGTGTGGTGACACAGGTGGGGTAGGTGGGGTAAATGGAAAATTACTGAATGGGCTGAGGAGATGGCATGTAGGGAGGACAAAAAGTGCCCAATGTGACAGAAATAGCTGTTCGTAAATAATAGTTTTCTTCACCTATTTGTTTGTATCTTTACTATTTTTTAAATTATTGGCATACTTCGTCCCAGACAGTCAGACAGTGTCATCCAGCTCTTGTTGATAGTCATTTGTTGTTTGGGGCATCATTGCAATTTATGTATGAAGAAAAACTTGAGAGTGTTGCACTGGGTCAAGACACAGGATGTAGGTTATTGTAGAAAATGGGTGCTTTTCAAGGATAGGGCAAATAGTCACATAGGAATAAAAAGCAATGACTGTCAATGACAAAGACAATGGATAGACCAGTGTGTTTCAGTGTCAGGCAGTCTTCATCGGGGTATAAAATGCATTGGAATACATGTGTCAATTTAAAACTCATCAATGTGACCAATGTCACATGACAACAATGAACGTCACTCTGTAGTGCACCAGCTTGAGCACCGACTGAGAATTCTTTGACTCCCCCCTCCCTGGCCTCACCAAAGACGTCGCTCTCCTAGCGCTAGCGTGAGCTTGAGTTGATAGAGCAGAACGCATTTTTAAGCAGAATACTGAGGAATAGCCTACTGACATCCACTTTGTGAAGCATTCTTGGAAACACCCGGAAAACATCAGTAGAGTGGCTGTATTTAAGACAACTCTGAGCCTGCACGGCAACACACAGCACCATTGAACTAAGCTCTGAAAACTTTTTCTTTCTCATTTGGCTCATGATAATTACTTTCCATTCCAGGTCAAAACTGATCTCCACAACAGGCTGCAGGGAGAGCACCTAGCTGCCTGCCTGAGGGTTGCCATAAATGGCCCTGTCCCGGAGGCATTCAACTATGGATAGGGGTGGATAACAAATCAAAAATTTTGCTCTGGTTCGGCTCACTTGACATGCTGCTGTGTTGTGCTATGGCCTATTCAAGTGCTGGAATTTGTTATTTACGTGACAACGCCTGAACGTAACAGCATTAGTGCCGTGCTGCGGGTTCGGGCCAGGCTCGGTTATAATTGTCTCGGACTTGGGGATCCAAGGTACGTCCCAAGTCCCTTAAAATTACTGCTAACCACCTTACCTAGCCACCTTACCTAACTGTTTAGTCCCTCCCACTTAGGAAAACATGCAAGGAGTCAGGAGTTAGGAGTGAGGAGCGAGGATTGCTGATTAAGAGACATGAAATGGCCTTACTCTGAAGCGTCACGTAAAAGCGACGTCCTTTTCTGATGACGGCGGCACAGCTGGATCTGCTGCATAACGGAGCCAGCGTTTGGCGTACATCCCAAGTCACATTATATTCGCTGTTCAAAGCTGTAACCCCCAGCCCCCGCCGTCATGACTTTGGTCACACACTTTTGCATGTATTACCATTGTTATTAAGTCATTTGCCGAAGTTTGTCAGAGTTAAAGAACTGTCTGTAGCCCTGCCACTGTCACTGTGATGAGCATCATCATCATTATTATCACTATTATTAAATCCACTCGCCATCATTCAACAAGTCAGCTGCTGAGTGAATAAGACATATATCAGACCTGTCAGTAGCGGATAAGGAAAAACTCCCCAAAAAAACCCTTTAACGGGGGAAAAAATGGTAGAAACCTCAGGAAGAGCAACTGAGGAGGGATCCCTCTTCCAGGATGGACAGACGTGCAATAGATGTCGTACAGAACAGATCAACGTGATAATTAACAGTAATCTGTATGACACAATGAGACAGAGAGAGATGCTGGACAGATGGTAATGACAGTAGCTTACAACAACATTGATGAAAGTAATAATATTAATTAATATTAATATTAATAATTAATAATTAATATTACTTACAAGCTATTAAACATTATTCCACTCACATGACATGCAGGACAATTAATGATAGGCAAATGTGTGTGTGTGTGTGTGTGTGTATGTGTGTGTGTGTGTGTGTGTGTGTGTGTGTGTGTGTGTGTGCGTGCGTGGTGTTATATCAACACGTGTGGTTCTGGACATGAGCAGCTGTACATTTAACAGCCACACATCACCGACAGTCCGCTGAACAATGCAACGGGTTGTGAATGAAATAAACTTAATTACAACATGACAGTCTTGCACGAAATATCATTAACGTTACTCTTCGTAGTCACGTAGACGTGTGAATTACAGCGTTTCATTGCAAAGAATGTATCTAACGGGTACACTTGCGCTGTTTCTCCGCCATCTCGTTCAAATGACGTAGGGGGCAGGTATTTATACGTCAGGGCCTCAAGCTGAAAAAGACTTCCTGTTAGGAACCTCTCGTGTTACCTTACTCATCGCACCCAACAGATCCCTCCTAACTCCTATTGCTAACTCCTTACTGGCAGGAATAGGCTTGTTCGAGATGAACTCCGCCTCGCCTGAAAAGTAGACAAGAGCAGGCGGCCGCAGCGGGGGGCGGTGACAAAAAGCTGTGGTGAAGTCGGACAGTTTCCCGACAGTTTCCAGCAGCCTTCAGTCCATACAGGAAGTCACAGACACACTAACATCCTGTCTGGAATGATGTCAATTCATTAAAAAAGTGATCAGGCCCATATATCAGTTTGTTTTCACCATCAGTCACATAACATGTTTTCTGTTCACAGAATAAACCTTCAGGTCAGACAAATAGGCTACAATCTTAATCTCTAAAATACAACAAAAATGAGTAGCCTAGTTTATCTAAAACGTCATCTTGTTGAGTCGACATCTGAACGAATGAGCTGTTAGATCAGGTGAGAGCCAGGCAGTGCAGTCGGTGGAGAGCAACTGCAGCGCCTGGCTCTACAAACTGCGGCCGCCTCGCTCTCGCGGTTTTATCGCCGTCCACTTTTGTAATATGTCAGAGCAAGTTGGGATGAAGTCGGACACAAAACTAACCGGCATGCATTGTGCGCCGATCGCCAGTGATCGAATCTGCGCAGGACTGGCTCATCTCGAACAAACCTAATAAGAGACATGAGACGGCCTTAAAGATGGCAGACCTAAAACGACTTCCGATTCAAGTAAGGAGTTACCGTGTGTTCCCACCAAACGCGATGAATGCGATTTACTCATGCGAGTAAATGAAAATCCATCGCGCTACTCGCTCGAGTTTGGACGCTGGGCCATTTATGTAAAATTTGCGTTATCGCATCAGATGCGCGAGTACGAGCCCGCCCATTTTCACTAGATAACAACAACATTACTTCCGCCATTTCTTTCTTTCATTGACCATGGCTGAGATCACCACGATCGCTGCACTGTACCTGCTCTGGAGGTCCCAGATTCATCTGAGGGCCAAACGCCGCCGTCGGTTCTGGGTGCATGATACCCTGCGGAGGCGCACTGAGCTCGGCGAGTTCCACCGTCTCCTACAGGAGCTCTGCCTGGACGACGGTCGGTTCCAGCAATACTTCAGGCTGACTGGGGCCCAGTTTGAGGACCTGTTGGCGAGGGTTGGCACCAGGATCTCCCGGCAGGACACTAACTACATGTGCTCCATTTCAGCTGCAGAGCGCCTGTCCATCTGTCTCCGGTGAGTAGCAGTTTATTGTTGTGTCAAAATCAGTAAATATTCACTGTATCTAGCAAGTCACACATCACCACTATAGTGGTATGAACCCACATTTTGCTGTGATTCAATTTCAATAAATGGATCAAAAGTATAATAATGTAATAACACACATCATAACACACCGCAACAATGAGTTTCTCCTCCATCTTGGCATCAGCCACTGGACGTCAGGGT